GATAAGAATACGAAGCATACTAATAAAATCAGTAGTAAATTTTTATGCAAAAGATTTAGAAACCACTCACCTTAAAAAGCTTTTGAATCCAAAACTCTTGAAATCAGACTTTTGAAATCAGCACTTGAAATCTACTTGAATCCTCAACACTTGAAATCACTTCTTAAAGCTTAACCGGACAACTCTCTCTCAACTCTCAAATYTCATAAAAATGGCAAGGAAAGTTCAAATGAAGGGGAAAGAGTCCCTTTTATATTTTCCCAAAATGGGAAGGTCGGCTCCCCCTTGCCACCTCACACTAAACCAAAATCAATTCCTAACACATATTCATGCACACATATGCGTGCATATATACATCCACGTAGGTACATCCTACACCACCCACATATATATATATATATATATACTCACCCATATATATACATATATATATATATATATTTATATCGCGTAAATATATATATACACATATCCATGTATTCAAATAATACACAAATTCACATACCAACATGTATCAATTACCATGTTACCATGTAATGAATTAATCAAATAATCACGTATTAAATACCTTGGGTAATAACCAGGATCTGGTTATCACATTATCCTCCCCTCAAAAGAATTCCGTCCCGGAATTCCTTTAGTCAAAAAGCCACGGGTAYTCTGATCTCATATTTGACTCTAATTCCCAAGTTGCCTCTGGTCCTTTATGAAATTTCCACTGTACTTGAACCAGACTTATCTTTTTGTTTCTCAACAGTCTGACTTTTCTGTCAACAATAGCTTCCGGTGTTTCCACAAAATTCAACTTACTRTCTAATTGAATCTCTGGCAACGATATAGCTAATTTCGGATCAGCCAAACATTTCTGCAGATTCGATACATGAAAAGTGTTGTGGATCAGACTCAATTCTTCTGGTAGCTCTAATTGATATGYTACTRGCCCAATTCGTTTACATATTCTGAACGGCCCTACATACCTCGGACTGAGCTTTCCTTTCTTCCCAAATCTGATAACACCCTTCCATGGCGAAACTTTTAAC